TATCTGTTTTAGGTTGGTTCTCAGTACTCTGAACTACCAACCTAGTACAGTTATTGTCTTATTTTTCAGCTGATGTTCATCCATGTTCATCTCTATATAATATATAATAAAATATATATTATATACCCAACCATAACACATTTTTAAACAATATCCAGCAATAATAGTCTTTTATTACCACATTTACACACCATTATACTAAATTTTCAAATATTTTAAAATTCAAGTAATTTTAATAAATCATGTAGAATGGGGGAGGGTGGAGGGGGTAATCTGACTTTATAATTGTAAAGGAAAACATTGATGATTGATAGACATTTTTTTTTGGGAGGGAGGGGGGGAAGTGGGGTAGTTTTTATTTTGAAGTGTTTTAACTACATTTAGATGTTTAACAACAAGTTTGATAAATGACAAACACAAAAGTTTTAAACAAAGGATCGTAATAAACAAGGTAAATTTTAAAATTGCAAAACATACAGATATATCCATAAAACTGTGGAAAGGGAAGACGACTTTTTGACTCAAGTTATCTTGTGAATAGTCCAATTAAAATGAAACACAGCATTTGTACATTGTACCGAAATCACTCAATTTTCTAGCTACAAGAATTGACAAGAATACATTTTAAGGAGGACAGTTTAAGCAAAGTCTGATTTCAGGACTATAAGGGTGGTCAGGAAGCAGGACAGCTTAAAGGAGTACAGTTTCAGAAAAGTCTGAATACAGGACAAAAAGGGTGGTCAGGAAACAGGACAGCTTAAAGGAGTACAGTTTCAGAAAAGTCTGATTACAGGACTATAAGGTTGGTCAGGAAACAGGACAGCTTAAAGGAGTACAGTTTAAGAAAAGTCTGAATACAGGACAAAAAGGGTGGTCAGGAAACAGGACAGCTTAAATGAGTACAGTTTCAGAAAAGTCTGAATACAGGACAAAAAGGGTGGTCAGGAAACAGGACAGCTTAACTAGGAGTACAGTTTCAGAAAAGTCTGAATACAGGACAAAAAGGGTGGTCAGGAAACAAGACAACTTAAAGGTGTACAAATGAATATTCTTAGTGATATGTGTTTTTTTTAAAAGTAGATATATTTACCTATATTTGGCGCGAAGGTTAATAAAAGGTGATAAATTGATATTATCGAATTTTCGTTTTGCTCATTAATTAACTTGAAAAATTATTTCTTGTTCTTTGAAAAAAGAGAAGAACAAGAATTCTTTAGGTTTAAAATATAAATATGTTCCCTTAGATCAATCTTGGAAATCACAAATTTGGATCCCAGGTCTAATGAGATAATCAATGGATTTGAAACACAATGAAATTGTAGATATTATAAACTTGTTATGCTCTGACTAGTTTTGATCTGTATATCACGTTAACTAAAGTAAATTGGTTTCGAACATGATTACTCTAATTGAAGAGATCTTGAGAAGAAAAGAAAAGTTTGAATTTATTAAATGTAACAAATGAAAATGCTTGTTCTTATACTTGTCCGTAAAATCAAAATCGAGAAGCTATATGGCCACAAAGTCGTACCAGCACTGTCGCATAATTGATCTGTTCTAGTTTACAGTGTTATACAATTTATTGTTTTTATATTAATAACCCTTTTATATCTGAAGTCTATTATATAACTTTTGTGGACGAAAAAATAAGTAAATAAATTATTAGGAATTACTCTCCCATTTTTAAAATCATCTTTATCAAATAAGTTAGGTCAGGAAAGCTAAGCTATTGATATAGAAGCATAATTTAGAATTTTGCAATTTGCAAATAAAGTATTTTTTTAAACTGCCATTTTTACATGTAAAAGAAAAACAATTGCAAACTTCTAAACTCTTGCAAAAAAAAGAAAAAACCATTATCTACATAATTTTATGGTTCTTACTGTAATTTTATATTAAGAAATAGCTATTTTTTGAAATTCTACACTTTGGTATTTTAATAAGATAAATTTTTAGTTTGCTTTTATTATATTAATTAAAAGTTTTAATCCTTAAAAAGATTTGAGGAAAAAGTTTAGAAAAAACAAAATTCCTACTTTTGTGTTGCTTTTATTTAGTTTCTTCATATTGTATAAAATCTTTTCTAGTTTATTAAAAGTAAACTATAATTTAATTTATCAATTCATCTAATTATTTGTCTCTATAAAAACATCTTGTTAATGTCTGTAAACATGTTTATATGAAAGTAGAAATAAATGTCAAGAAATATTATTCTAAACATTCTAAGATTTATTACTTGCGCAGAGGATTTGATTAATGTTCTTAAAGAATATGTTTATTTTATAAACTTAGTATATAATTTACACATTCACATCCTGGGCTGTGTACTGTGTAGGGCTTAAGGCTGGGTACGCTTAGAATTTTTTAAAGAATTTAAAGATTTTTTCAGGTTTCCGATCATTTTTAGCTCAAAACTAAATGTTTCAGTCAACGGTTTTGGGTTGACCTTCTTCTTCTGGCTAGTTTCCAACTAGCAGGTTCATTTATAAATTACAAGTTTAAAATGAACTCTGTATTTAATAAAATCACCAAAGTTGGAATCTTAAAAGAATTATTTTCATGCTTTATAAAATCTCAAGAGAAAATAGAAGAATCTAATGCAGAATATAAAGATTAGAATTGAATTACATGAATTTAAGATGGAAATTTAAAAGATTAGGATTAGAATTTTCAGATTTTATTTAACATTTGGAACTTAAATAAAACTGTACATCCCCACAGCTATGGATTTTTATTAGTTATTGTCTCAAAAGGGCCATTCCCTTCCCCTCAACACCCCCCCCCCCCCCCTACTAAAACAACTCTTAAAGGAATTGAGTTTTTGCCACAAATGCAAATTTTATAATACCTAAATTTCAACAACCAGATGATGCATACCTTTCATATTTCAAACTTACATTGTTTGATCCACCAGAATTCATAGTTTGAAATATCTACGGTCTACAACATTTGGTTCTAAAGAAATTGGGATTTAAAAATCCGAGTTTGTGGCAAAGACTCAATTCCTGGATTTAAAATTGCCTATCTCTCACATAAATATGATCATCTTTTATTTTTTTATTATCTGGTTTTATAAGATCCATTTAATGTTGACAAAAGTGTCTGAATATACATAAAAGTTGTGAAATGTATTAAATCTACAACGACATTTAAAAACTTGATCTAATTTTACATCAAACCGTGCTAGAACCTAACCCCACCTCTCTTATTTTAACAAAACTGAAGAGAAAAATTGAGAAAATCAAACACAAAGTTTGATCTAATTACACATAGTAAAATATGATGAATCGTCAGTCAAAAATGTTTCTTTTGTTGCTTTAAGATTCCATGAATTGTAAAATGCATAGTTTTGACTATTTCTGCTTACTCACGATACTAGAGAACTTTTTCATAATACTTCTCATGAACCATTCTTCACAGAAATCAGAGACAGAAACAATTATTTTAAGCGCCTAAAATCTTTACCCTTTAATTCCAAAATATTCGTATAATTTAATTTATAAATCATGAATGTAAAACTCTCTAGAATATATTCTAGTTAAAAGATAAAATATGTTGTAATATGTTGAAAATTTTCAGAAAATCCCCGGAATATTAAATGTTCAAAAAGAATTCGAAGTAAGAAGCTCTTGAACACAATTTTAGAGATGATATGGAGAATCTTGAGAGTCGGTTTAAGTTGGGATTTAAATTGGATTTAAGATGGGCTTTAACTGATCTTAAAATATATGTTTTANGGGGTGCGGTACGATGACTTTTTGTCTTGCTGGCCAAAGCTAAGGCCCGCGTTTTTGAGGCAACTCATCGCTGGCAAGATTATAAATAGTTAAAGATGAAAATTTTAACTGGAATTTTGCTTTGAAATTTGTTTTTTCGATTAACAAAGAAAAATGGCTGCTTGAAGAGCAACAATTAACAACTGAAATTGTTAGCCTAGCAAATATAAATTGGAAAGTCACATTTAGCTTTTTTATCTGGATATGTAAAACTGTTTCGTTCATTTTTATTTCAAGCAAAACATAAAATTCTTAAACTTATCTTATCTTGAGAGATTTGTCATTTTTATTTCCGTAAAACTGGGTTTTGATTTTGATTTCTTGCTTATTGCAACTTTTATCAGGGCCTTGTCAAACTTGAAAGACTTGTCATATTTAGATCAAGTTTAACCCAGAACTTCGGAGACATCAAAAGAATTTATAAAATGTCGTCTTCTTAACCTACTGATAATAGAATGTCGCAGATATTTAGTTATTTCAGTTATTTAGTTTAATTGAATAATTATATGGAGCTCTTTGAAACTGTTCCCGCATATTTAGTGGCTATTAATATATTAATATATTAATACAAAAAATAAACAAATTACCCTCATCTCATGCCAGAAAAAACTATCACAATTTTTTTAAAAAATCAAGACGACATTTTATAAATTCTTTCGATGACTCCGAAGTTCTAGGTTAAGCTGCATCATACCAGCTCGACTCGCGAAAGGGGGGGGGTAACAATGTGCAGAAAGTTGCAAATTCAGATTATTAGTACAAAATTATGTAAAGAAAACAAATTCGTGGCATTTAACTGAACAAAATATTTTGTAAACAATATTTGCAGAAGACACAATATCAAATATAATTAAATAACGATTTGAATTTTAAATGAGATTAATAAGCAAGAGATTTCAGTTAGAAATTGGTAAATTTTCGACAAAAAAGAGCGGAAGGGTGAACATCTGTCCCCCCCCGTTGCTTCGTCCTGACTCCTGAGGTTCTCATCTAACTGAAAACGTTATTTTTATAGAAAAATCCTTTATCTGCGCCTGCTTTATAAATGTATCCAGGCGGAGACTAAATTGCTCTTCTTTATAAGAACTCCCTGTCAGGGGCGTATGCAGGAATTTTTCAATAAATAGGCTCAGCCGCACTAGCCCCCCCCCCCTCCTGAATAAGCCATCGCTCTCTGTATATGACATGTACTATATGTTCAATGTGCATGCTGTTTAATTTTACCTAAGAAGATGCAGTTTATAATGTCGTCTGTGTATAGTATGAGAGTATCCTGCTGTCCAGTTCTAAACTGGAATTCTAGTCCTGTATCTAGACCACCAGGCCACCGTCTGCTCAATACAAAACAACATGGTTCTTAGTAGAGATAAATTTTTATACAGAAAGAACCATAAAACTCTGGAATAGGATGACGACTTTTCGGCTCAAGATATGGCTTGAAATAGTCCAATTAACATGAAACACAGCAATTGTGTGGTGTAAACAGACTCATTACATTTAAAAGGTGATGAAATATGTTACAACTAAAACTATCAACATCAACAACACAAAAACGCTTTATTATTTCTTTAATGTCGTCTTCCTATTATACAGTTTTCAGATTCTAACTGTAAATATTGCCAAACTTACAAAAATTTAAAAATATTGCATCATAGATTTGAAAACGAAATGAGATATTTTGAATTATAATAAGTTAATTATAATTTGCAGCAGTTTTTAATGAATTAATGTTGAATATATTTTCCTGAACTGAAGATAACTAGTCTTTGATCCCTCCAGCACATACTCAGACTTCAAACAATAATTATAATAATGAAGAAGTAATCTCTGTTTGTTTGTTTGTTTTTGTTTGTATGTCCGATCATAACTTATGACCCCCTGGACAGATTTGCCTCAAATTTTGATTGGGAAACTTGGGAAAACCACGGGAATTTTCTTAGCTTGGTTTTGATATTCAAAGTTAAGTGTGTCTTTTATTGGGAAAATAGCAAAAATCGTAATTTACGATCAAGTGCGGGTAAACAGCGAGAGTAACAATAAGTAACTTGGGCAACGCTAGTATTAAAATTAAATAGAAACCATAAATGCATTTTGTAATCAAAAATAAGTTTAATTGAATATTACTTTAATTATAGCAACAATTAATTAATAAATTACATAGTCAACTGGAGTCAACTGCAGTCAACTGGAGTCAATGGAGTCAACTGGAGTCAACTGGAGTCAACTGGAGTCAACTGGAGTCAACTGGAGTCAACAAGAGTCAACTGGAGTCAACTCAAATTAGAAAAAAACTAAAAAACATAATTTTACTTTAATATATACGTCTGGGTGTCCCAAAAAATAAAGGTACTTTTGTCGTACTTTCCAAATAGTGACATGTTCGATGCACAATGGTACCCTTGAAAATTTGATAACCATGATTTCTTTTTGAAAATATTGGTTATTTCCAATACGGGTTTCTCTTTAAGTAACTATTGCATTTTTGCTTCTGAAAAAAGGGAGGAAAATTTGAGAATTAAAAAGTTTTCAAGCTAGAAAATACAATGACATTAAAAGTGAGGTCAATAAAACTGTCTTCAACATTTGTTGTTTAATGAATCAAAAAGTTTTATTAAAAAACGTACGATTCATGAGCTTTAAAAAATGTGGTCTAACGTCTTTGTATTTTAACTGAGAATTTTATGTTTATTTGGACACACTATACAACTGTGTTTGATGCTTAAAACGTTCATTTCAATGTGTCATGTTCAAAAGTTAAATTAAAGGAATTATAAATTAGATTATTTTTAAAAATAATTAATTAGATAAACTTCCTGTAAAGAGACACAGACAGGAAGCGTAACTTAATGTGACCCTCCATGCAAAGATGGCAACGCTTCAAAACGATACCCAATTAAAAACTTTTTCTACAAAAGGGACGTGCGCATTTCTACTGCAAAAAAAAATATATATGAATTATCAGAATTAAACACGACAATATTATTCATAGTTTGGATCAGAGAAAGGTTTCAAGGGTACCGCTGTTAATCTGACATTGCCATTGCCATTTTAACAAGAAAACTGTACATCTCTCCACCGTACACATTCAAGAAAAAGACTTGAGTTAGTAAATAAAAGACTGGGGTTAGTAAATAAAAGACTGGGGTTGTTAGTGAATAAAAAACAAGGGTTAGTAAATAAAAGACTGGGGTTAGTAAATAAAAAGACAGAGGTTAGTGAATAAAAGACTGGGGTTAGTAAATAAAACATTGGGGTTAGTAAATAAAACACTGGGGTTATTGAATAAAAGACTGGGCATAGTAAATAAAAGACGGAGGTTAGTAAATAAAAGACTGGGTTTGGTAAATAAAAGACTGGGTATAGTAAATAAAAGACTGGGGTTGGTAAATAAAAGATTGGGGCTAGTAAATAAAAGACTGGGGTTAGTAAATTAAAGACTGGGGCTAGTAAATAAAAGACTGGGGTTAGCAAATATAAGACTGGGGTTAGTAAATAAAAGACTGGGGTTAGTAAATAAAAGACTGGGGTTAGTGAATAAAAGACAAGGGTTAGTAAATAAAAGACTGGGGTTAGTAAATAAAAAGACAGGGGTTAGTGAATAAAAAACTGGGCATAGTAAATAAAAGACGGGGGTTAGTAAATAAAAGACTGGGTTTGGTAAATAAAAGACTGGGTATAGTAAATAAAAGACTGGGGTTAGTAAATAAAAGATTAGGGCTAGTAAATAAAAGACTGGGATTAGTAAATAAAAGACTGGGGCTAGTAAATAAAAGACTGGGGTTAGCAAATATAAGACTGGGGTTAGTAAATAAAAGACTGGGGTTAGCAAATATAAGACTGGGGTTAGTAAATAAAAGACTGGAGTTAGCAAATATAAGACTGGGGTTAGTAAATAAAAGACTGGGGTTAGTAAATATAAAACTGGGGTTAGTAAATAAAAGCCAGTGTATAACCATTGACCAATGTAAAAGAAAATAACTTTTAATGTAAAAAGTAATGATTATTAATTATTATTCCTGTGATGAGAGGAAAAGAAGAAGAAAAACGAAAAGTTTGGTCGCTGTGATCATTCTTCCTCAACAGCTTAACCTAGGAAATAATTATGATTATTATTAATATTATTATTATATTTTCCTCATTATTATTAATATTATCATTATTATAATTATTTATTAATAATATTATTAATTTTATTGTTAATGGGAGGGGGCATGATCATTAAGAATGTTGAGGGCGTGTGGAAATTATTCCTTAACTAAAAATGACTTATTTAGTTTAATCATACTTTAAGAAGCGAAAATTGTTTTCTATTAAGGAGAATCCGACATGGTAACTAATTATTGTCAAATTAAAGTCATTTATATTTATTAAAACTTTACAGAAATGAAAAAGAAAACTCCTTCAACAATGTTATTTGAACAAATTCATCCAATATAGAAACTATTGTTAACAAAAACAGAGACTACAAAACACAAAACGCTGAACTAAAAGCAGTGAGCTCAATTAATGTCCTAGCCGATTAAGGACGACTTCTAAAAAATCCTTCATTTTAACAATGTTTCCCTCCCATCCCCCCCTCATTTTAGAAAAATTAGATAAATATTACACGCAGGTCCCTTTTTTACCAATATTCCAATACTCATTTCTAACATACAGTAAGCAAATAGAACAAAACTCAATAATAATGTTCACAAAAGAAAGTTCTATAAAGACAAAAGCTTAAAAATTGCGAGGTCCGAACTTTTGAACAGTTAATCCCTTCAGAAATACTAATCCGTAATTAGAAAATTTGAGTTTGTGGCAAAAACTCTCTTTCTTTATAATTTTAGCAGTGTTTTCTTTTGATTTTAATATGCAGAAAAGGAAGCTGTAAATATATCATTGTTCCAGTTTTTCATTATAGAGGCAATGTAAACATTTTCAATTTGCATATTCCCTTTTCATCCTGTATACAGAGTAGTGAATATATTTTAAACTTTTTAAAGGATTTAAAACTTTTCCCTTGGACTCTGCTTCAAGCAAAACACATCTTAGCAAAAACAACAAAAAGGTTTAGGAGCTGAAGTTTTGCAGAAAAAGTGATGTTAGAAAATTGATGGCATATATGTACAGGGTGTCCCAAAAAACATGGGAATAAAGTGACGAATTGGATATAGTCTTTGTTATGAATTAGCATTGTAATACCTGATTTCTAAAGCCATAATATTATTATGTCTGCTAGAGTTTATTTTATGAAAAAGGTAAAAGACTGTAAAGATGTGTCTATAATGTCTCCGCAAGATGAACAGTGAGGACGGACAAGTTTTCTCTGTTTGTGTACTGCAATTTTCTTGTTTTACTAAGTAGAACCGTATGCAGTCAAAACATAAACAAACAAAATGTGAACATAGCAGACGAAACACTTACAGATTACAGCTTTCTCAGTAGGTATCACTATACTAAATCAAAGAATTATCTAAAAGACGATATCGAATTCGTCACTGAGTTCCCATGTTTATTGGGACACCCTGTACTAAAAACCCGAATAGAGAAAGAAATGTTGAAATTGCATTAGATTTAAAACTGATACACTATTTATTAGGCAGAGAGAACAATTTATCCAGATTTATTTAAATTCATTTAATTTTCACGAACACTTCTGTTTAAGATTCCATAAACATAATTCTAGATCTTATCCATAATTTATGAATGCACGTCTGTTTTTGTGAGTCTGTGTGTGTGTGTGGGGGGGGGGACCCCCCGTCCAACATAAACGGAAGTAAATATCAAAAGCGGAAATTGAATTTCATAATTTTGAATTTCCTGCATATCCTATAAGAGATTGTCGAAACCAAGACTTTAAAAATCACATCGATCAAATTAAGTGAAAACGAATTTGATAAGGGTGGGGTGGGGGTGGGGTAGAAAATCCGCAAGTTATTCTCTGGAAAAGCTGTTAACTATAATTAAACGTGAGTTTCTAAGAAAATTTTAATCAATAAAGCTTTAGGAAAAAACATCAATTATAATTTGGTTTATAACAGTCCAAAAAATCAATGAACATTTTGGGTTTACCCCGGTATTTTCATTAAAATATTTTAATTCCGTATACATATAAAATGCGAGACCATATATGCAAGACTCAAGGATTTCAGATTTTAATAAAACACACGATTGTAAATTCATACGTAAATTTTAGGACCTAAAAGTTTCTGCTTAAAGACGCATTTTTGAAACTTTTAAAAGTATTAGGATAAAGATTAGCCTTTGAAAAGCTAAATAAATATGTAAAAAAATAATCGAATAACAGATTGTCGACAGTTTTGGTCTTCATATATAATGTTGACAATCTACTTCAGGAAATGCAGTCAATATACATTATGAAAATTATCAAATAAATATCATATTTTTTTATTTTTTAGATATTGTTGGGATCATGTTTACGTCTACCCCTGTCTGATAATTTCCCCACTCCACTCAACCTGGGGAGTATCTCTTGACCTTGTTCAATTATCCAGTTTATTCTTCTTTCAAGGGTTCAAAACCAATATTTAAGGAGTAAATAAAGAAAAGGATACAGCAAACAAAAGGAAACAGCTAAGAAAATGAAACAGCAAATAAAAGGATACAGCAAAGAAAAGGAAACAGCTAAGAAAAGGATTCTGTAAATAAATGGAAAAACCAAAGAAAAGGAAGCAGCTCAGAATTTGATTCCGCAATTAAAAGAAAAGGCAAAGAAAAGGATTCTGCAAATAAAAGGAAAAAGCAAAGAAAAGGAAACAGCTCAGAATATGATTCTGCAAATAAAAGAAAAAGCAAAGAAAAGGATTCTGCAAATAAAAAAAATAAGCAAAGAAAAGGAAACGGGAAAGAAAAGAAACAGCAAAGGAAAGGAAAACATGCAAAGAAATGGAAACAGCAAAGAAAAGGAAACAGCAAAGAAAAGTAAACGAAAATTAAAAAAAACAGCAAAGAAAAGGAAAAAAGAAAAAGAATATACAGCAAAAAAGGATAGAACAAAGAAGAGAAAACTAAAGGATACAGCTAAAAAAATATTCTGTAAAGAAAAGGAAACAGTAATGAAAAGGAACCAGTAAAGAAAAGGAACCAGTAAAGAAAAGGAACCAGTAAAGAAAAGGAACCAGTAAAGAAAAGGAACCAGTAAAGAAAAGGAACCAGTATAGAAAAGGAACCAATAAAGAAAAGGAACCAGTAAGGAAAAGGAACCAGTAAAGAAAAGGAAACAGCAATCAAAAGGATACAAGAAATAAAAGGATACAATACAGCAAAGGAAAGGATACTACAAAGAAAAGAAAAAAACAACGAAAAGGAAAAAAAATGAAAAGGAAACAGGAAAGAAAAGGAAACAGTAAAGGAAAGGAAACAGTAAAGAAAAGGATACAGCAAAGAAATGGAAACAGCAAAGAAAATGAAAATTCCGAATTAGGCCAGGAGGAAGATTGACCTTGAACATCTAATTTGATTTATTTCTAGAAAAGTTCTTTTTCTTCTTTGTATCCCAAAAAAGGCTAACCAAACTTTTTTTTATATTTTTAGATATTATAAAGCCGCGAAAAAAAAACATATTTAAATTTTGTTTACCTAAAACTGCAGAAAACTAAACAGGCTACTTTGGTTTCATGGTTTCAAAATAGTTCCTTGTTTTTCATTATTATTTTTCTTCAAATCTGCGTAAGTTCACTGTTTGTTAAAGTCTGAAGTCTCATGTCTCATGTCAGATCATGATATTGTTTCTGTATGGTCTCCAGCTCTCTTCCTCAACAGCTTAACCTAGGAAATAATTATGNGCACTAGGCGAATATAAACCTCCATGGGCGCTACCTCGCTCTTCTACCATGAGCCCTCGCAGCAAGGTGTGGGGGTGAAACCATTTCGTAGATTTAAAACAAATCCTTTCTCATTTCTCTGGAAAACCAACAAATATTTAGAATTGAAACAGACAATATTTCTATAATTCATAATTTGAAAATATTCTAGTTTCTCAATCCCTTGAACTTGGGAGGATCCGAGGCTTCAGCTCTGTGTATAGTCATGAGCACAATATTGATTCAATTTCAAGCAAGGATGCTTTGTATATAATCATCTTACAATTACACAGGCAGCCTCATATTGCATTAACAAATATTAACTATCAACCAATCTATTAAATTTTTCCAGACTAATCGTTTCCCCCTTAAAGTCCTTAAAGGAAAGGAAAATCCATGGAACTGACATAAATCATGCATAATTAATAATTTTTGTATCAATTTGTTCATTATAAAACATTAAAGGTATTTATGTCCCCCCACCATCTTGTAGCTCTACTATGTTAATGCATTTATTAACCAATAATAACCGGGAAGGTTAAATGAAAAACAAGCAAAAAGTAAAAAAAAACAATAAAATATTTAATAAATGACAAAAGCTCTACTTTGTAATAAAGGATAAAGAGAAAGCATGTTAAAGCCTGTTAATTAATGAAAGTTTCTGCTGTTGTAGGGAGGGTAAAGGAGGGTTGGAGGAGTAATAGTGTAATAGAAGAATAGAAAATAAAATGAATGGGATGGGAGAAGGAAGGTTTAAGAAGAGAAGAATGGATAAGAACATGAATGGGAGAAGGAAGGTTTAAGGAGAGAAGAATGGATAAGAACATGAATGGGAGAAGGAAGGTTTAAGGAGAGAAGAATGGATAAGAATATTAATGGGAGAAGGAAGATATAAAAAGAGAAGAATGGATAAGAACATGAATGGAATGAAAGGTATATATAGAGAAGGATGGATAAGAACATTAATGGGAGAAAGTTATATAGAGAAGGATGGATAAGAACAAGAATGAGAGAAGGGTATAATGAGAGGAGAATGGATAAGAACATGAATGAGAGAAAGATATAATGAGAGGAGAATGGATAGGAACAAGAATGAGAGAAAGATATAATGAGAGGAGAATGGATAAGAACATGAATGAGAGAAAGGTATAAATAGAGGAGAATGGATAAGAACATGAATGAGAGAAAGGTATATAGAGAAGGATGGATAAGAACATTAATGGGAGAAAGGTATATAGAGAAGGATGGATAAGAACATTAATGGGAGAAAGGTATATAGAGAAGGATGGATAAAGAAAATATATATAAATTATAAAGAAAATAGTTTTGGAGCAAAATGTTACTTGTTTAGTTATATCAAAATGTTACTTGTTTAGTTATATTGTTTAGTTATATAAAAATGTTACCAAAATGTTACTTGTTTAGTTATATAAAAATGTTACTTGTTTAGTTATATCAAAATGTTACTTGTTTAGTTATATCAAAATGAGAAAAAGTTTAAAGTTTCTAATAAACGGTATAAAAAGTTTTGCAAGTAATAGTTCTTAACTAAATTACTTAATCCTTAGTAGCAGAAAACTTGGCAGCTCAAGAACAATGAAAGGTGAAAGTTTTTTAGCAGTCAACAGAAACCCACTGGAGACAAATCAGGATTATACAAAATATCACTCCAAAAATATTAGATTCATTTTGTAAATTAAACATTATTAACAGAAAAGTAGGATTTTTTATGCTTAGTTTTATTGTTTATAAAGAAAAAATTACGTACCACATGTTTTTTTAACAACATATTTTTACAAGAGCAGAACATTTTTTCTCTGGCTATTGTATCTTCTTTTTTTCTGATCATACATCTGTTTTCTGATTATACATCTGTTTTCTGATCATACATCTGATTTCTGATCATACATCTGTTTTCTGATCATACATCTGTTTTCTAATCATACATCTGTTTTCTGATCATACATCTGTTTTCTGATCATACATCTGTTTTCTGATCATACATCTGTTTTCTGATCATACATCTGTTTTCTGAACATACATCTGTTTTCTAATCATACATCTGTTTTCTGTTTCACTTTTGTAGATCTACGCATTCTAATCCCTTGTAGACAAAGGATAATATGCATTTTGACACATATTTCTGCTTTTGTTTCTCCCGCATATTGTTGTATATGAAAAATATGAGAAAGGGAGATATATTTTCTCCAGTCTGAAGGACTAAACTACTTTCACTAAACCAAATATTAAACGATGTACAGTATAAATACTTTATTTAATGATAAAAATAACAAACGGTTTTCGATACTAATACGGTAGAGAATTGTAGCAAGAGTTTGAGTTACGACTCACGATCCTATTTCTTTAATAACTCTCTGACCTGAAGGTTCGTCGCCAACTGCCTGTGGATCAGGTACAGGTTGACCTGCTACCTTCGTTCTGGAAATCCCTAGTCCAGATAGAATTCCCTAGTGAATGAATCTAGGAGCTTTATTTGGGGCCTCATCTCAGCTTTGGATCAACTAACTCTCACTTGAATTTCCCGCCACGCTATTTACAAATTTATACTATGGATAGATATTTTATCCTCACAGCATCGTCATAAGATCATAACACCTTGCCACCGTTACAATATTTCCCAGAGCTGTATTGTATGTACAACATGTAATTTATTATTAAGAAGAAATGCGTGCATGTTTTAATTTTTTTATCATTTTTTTTCAACAGGACTGAGGTACTGAAAGCTTTATTGTAATGCGGGTTATTGGACAATTTTGTACTTGACATTTTGGCGAGAGGTTTAATTTCTACAAAATTGGAAGGTGAACCTGAAAATATACTTGGATTCTTCGAACTTTACTATTTTTACTTTTACTTATGTGATTTCATTATAACATGATATTTGAACAATTGTGTTTTCAGTTTTATAAACAAACTAGCAGAAGTAACCAGCATTGCCCGTGCCCGTTGCTCCCAGGACTAACCAGGCATCATCAGTTTGCAATTAATCGCGTTTTGGCGTTCTAAATTTACAAAGTTGTCTTATAAAACGCATATGCGGACAAAAAAGTATAAAAGCGGAAAAGAGAAAATTTGATGTTTATTAGGTCAAATTGTATCAAATTTGATGTTTATTAGGTCAAATTGTATCAAATTTGATGTTTACTAGGTCAAATTGTATCAAATTTGATGTTTATTAGGTCAAATTGTATCAAATTTGATGTTTATTAGGTCAAGTTGTATCAAATTTGATGTTTATTAGGTCAAATTGTATCAAATTTGATGTTTATTAGGTCAAATTGTATCAAATTTGATGTTTATTAGGTCAAATTGTATCAAATTTGATGTTTATTGGGTCAAATTGTATCAAAAGTCACAGCTTGCTGGAGTAAGAACTATTAAATTTATTTTTAATACTTTGCTGCACTCTTCCTTGTGCGTAACATCAAAACTAGAGGAGCTACTAGATCACAAAGTTGTACCACTGATGTCGCATAAAATTGACCCTCTACTTCTGCCTTGCTTGCGGTGCATGGCGAAACCTATTAAACAAAATTAATAAGGCATTTAAAGATTTTCCACTAGTTTAAACATGGGTTCTTCAATTGGCATATACATACTTTTTACTATCATTAGCTCGATAACGATTAGTTCATTGAAGAACCTATCCATTACGTTGATCGTACCGTTAAAGAACCAATAATAATCAGCTGTTCTTTCTGCTCGTGAACGAAATTTCCCGCTAATTTTCATTGACAGAACTTTGCTCAGCCTTAGATCAAAGTTGTTGTAAAAATATCAGTAAGGATTTGTTGTTTTATCCGTTCTTAAAGTGACAGAAAGACAATGTTTCCATATCTATATAGTTGTATAGGAGTTTGTATAGAGTGTGTTTGTGGGGTGGGAAGCTGGGGGGGAGGTCGGATGGGGAAATATAGTCAGAGGGAGGAGCTAGAGGTCGAATCTCCCATGAGACTGAGGTTAATGAGAGGATAACCTAATTATCAAAATCAAATAATCGGGTTGTAGAATGTAGAATGTAGAATGTAGAATGTAGAATGTAGAATATAGAATGTAGAATGTAGAATGTAGAATGTAGAATGTAGAATGTAAAATGTAGAAAACAGAATGCAGATTGAAGAATGCAGAATGCAGAAGGTAAAATGTAGAATGTAGAATGTAGAATGTAGAATGTAGAATGTAGAATGTAGAGTGTAGAATGTAGAATGTAGAATGTAGAAAGTAGAATGTAGAGTGTAAAACGTAGAATGTAGAATGTAGAATGAAGAATGTATAATGTATAATGTATAATGTAGAATGTAGAATGTAGAAGGCAGAATGTAGAATGTAGAATGTAGAATGTAGAATTTAGAATGTAGAATGTAGAATGTAGAATGTAGAATGTAGAGTGTAGAATGTAGAATGTAGAATGTAGATTGTAGAACGTAGAGTGTAGAATGTAGAATTTATAATGTAGAATGTAGAATGTATAGAGTGTAGAATGTGGAATGTAGAGCGTAGATACTTCTTATAACCCTTTTTCTTCACCTCTGAATTATAACTCCTCTGAATTAAAATTTGTTGAAGCAATTTTACTGTAGTAACGAAACTTTCATATTTTTTGTTTTGTTTTATGTAAACCTATTTATTTATCAAATTGTTATTTTTCTCGAATTGCTAGGGTACTTTTTTTTGAAAAATCTGTAAAAATCTTGTTTTCGTAAACATTGACTACCAAAAGTAAGCTTTAAAAAAGAAAAAGAAAACCTTTGAATGACAATGACAGGACTTATAATGTCACTGTCTGGCACTTAATTGTATATAACTAAAAACTTATAAATGAATATTTTGGTGTCATTACAATCAACTACCTTGCAACAACTATATTGACAGGTTATGAAAAGAGAAAAGAAAAAACTGTAAAGAGATATAAACAATCTATACAATACAATATAATACAATATAATACAATACATTACAATTAATATTATAATGATTTGCACGTACATAGTTCTGTCACGCGGATATAACGGTTCGGTCCGTAGGACTTTCGAACAAGAGTTGATCTATAAAACGTATTTTTTTTTGGCTTTTTCTGTACTGTACGGTAAGAGACCATCTGGTTGACCTTAAAGGGACTGTACGGTTAGGGAATATCTGGTGGATGTTAAAGGGACTGTACGGTTAGAGCGTATCTGGTTGACCTTAAAGGGACTGTACGGTTAGAGAGTATCTAGTTGACATTAAAGGGACTGTACGGTAAGAGAGTATCTGGTTGACTTTAAAGGGACTGGAAGGTTAGGGAGTATCTGGTGGATGTTAAAGGGACTGTACGGTATCTGGTTGACGTTAAAGGGACTGTACGGTTAGAGATTGTCTGGTTGACTTTAAAGGGACTGGAAGGTTAGGGAGTATCTGGTTGACGTTAAAGGGACTGTACGGTTAGAGAGTATCTGGTTGACGTTAAAGGGACTGTACGGTTAGAGATTATCTGGTGGATGTTAAAGGGACTGTACGGTAAAAGAGTATTTGGTGGATGTTAAAGGGACTGTACGGTAAGAGAGTATCTGGTTGACGTTAAAGGGACTGTACGGTTAGAGAGTATCTGGTTGACGTTAAAGAGACTGTACGATTAGAGAGTATCTGGTTGACGTTAAAGGGACTGTAGGGTTAGAGATTATCTGGTGGATGTTAAAGGGACTGTACGGTAAAAGAGTATCTGGTGGATGTTAAAGTGACTGTACGGTAAGAGAGTATCTGGTTGACGTTAAAGGCACTGTACGAGTATCTGGTTGACGTTAAAGGGACTGTATGGTTAGAGAGTATCTGGTTGACGTTAAAGGGACTGTACGGTTAGAGATTATCTGGTGGATGTTAAAGGGACTGTACGGTAAAAGAGTATCGGGTTGACCTTAAAGGGACTGTACGGTTAGAGCGTATCTGGTTGACGTTAAAGGGGCTGTACGGTAAGAGAGTATCTGGTTGACCTTAAAGGAACTGTAAACGTAATTTCAAGTGTCCCTTCATTGATAGAGTGACATGTTGGATTCACATTGGTCCCATTAAAAGCTGGGCGAGTCAAATTATAAATCCATGCTTTTTTACATTTCTTGTTTATCTACAAAATTGAATTTCGCATTTCTTGCTTCAGAAATTAAACTTATTTTATCTAGCCTTGTACAAAAGCATTAAACAAATAAAAGTTTTAAAATCACAAGAAATAAATATAATCCATGTACTTATTTATTTACTTAATTATGTTATTTGTTTGTGTTATGATGTCATTTATGAATCATCAACCATTTTTGTTGCTAATATTAAATGATAATTTCAACTTTTTTTTCAAAAAGTTAAAATAAAAAACGGCCTTTTTCAGTCAAATTAACTTCTTCCGAAAATGTGGTTAATGATGTCGATTCATTAAATCAATACTATCGAGATTTAAAATACATATCGTACAAGGTGCGAAGCGCCCCTCTTACTTTCAATATTCACCTTTTTGTTTCTGCAAACTTTTCTTCTTCGTAAACTTTAAACAATGGTAAACCTTCCAAGGGGCCAAGTGAGTTTTTCCCAAAAAAATAGAATTATCGGTTTAGCTTTATTTGAGGTTTAATTGACACAAACAAACCAACAGACACACAACCAGACAATAAAAATGTATACATAAACTGCAGATGAAACTTTTTATTATTAAAACGATTCAGTCAGATTTATTGGACTCTATCAAGAACTCCTTTACCGCCACAAACTTAAATATCTTAGCAAATATTGAATTTGTCCTACGTCGCTAATCTACATATTGTCATGCCAGTTCAATTTTGAACCACTGATTCACAGTTGAATATAAAAAAGGATTTGAATTGGTGATTCAAATTTGAACCGGCGGTAGTTCAAATTACATAACTCAAGTGTCATAAAACTAATATTATAAAAATTTATTTTAAAACTAAAAACAAATTACATTATAATGTATTCAGTTTAAATCACAGTTACAGTATCAACAATACATCAATTGTATTGACATTTGACATGGCAAAAAATTGGTTAGAAAAGGAAAATGATTTTAGGCTCAAGTTATACCTTTAAATATTCCAATAAACATAAAACACAACAATTGTTTAGAATGAAAAGACCTATTTCACTAAATAAGTGACTTGATATGTTACTATTAAAACGATGTGCTTTGTAACAACATCAAATACACTTAATTACTGCTTGAATGTCGTCTTCCTATTCCACGGTTTCCTGGTTATCACTGTATGACAATTTGGTGAAGCATCACAGATATTTTGGCAATTAATCCCTAAACCTCAAACCCATATCATTGTAAGAAAAGAAAACATAAAATGTTTTTAACAGTTTACATTGTAGAATGAAATAACCGTTATTAACGATATATTAAAAATGTTGCTAAAACCTCTATATAAGTTTTTGTAAGTGCAAATCATTCTTTAAATAATATATATGTTTTGTATGTACATAAGCTCATCTAATGCTATTTAGTGCCCTGTAATGGCTGCACCTACAGAGTGTCCCACGAAACATGACAGTTGGTGAATAATTTAAAATGTCTTCTTCCATAATAAATTATTTGATAAAAAAGAAAATGATAAACAAAATATTCAATGGCAGTAATTTTATAGCTAATTTGGATTTTAAAGTTAAATATATTTGTTTTAAAGATTTTTTGAAACTAAATAAACTGCAAAAAGTATAGAGTAAAGAGTATAGAGTATATGGAAGAAGACATTTAAAACTATTCACCAACTGTCATGTTTCATGGAACACCCTGTAGGTGCGGGCAATGGTTAAGATTTTCCTCTAAAACTTGGCTTCTTTTCTTTTCAAATATTTCTTGTTTCCAAATATTTTATTGTAATTGTACTTTGTTGAATTGTTTTAGAAATATTGTTATTGAAAACTATCAAATATTTCATTCAGGGAAATATCTTTTACATCTAGTTCTCCTCTTTCAAACCTAGAACAATAATATACATTATACAATATACAATATACATTATATATTATACATTATACATTATACATTATACATTATACATTATACATTATACATTATACATTATACATTATACATTATACATTATACATTATACACTATACATTATACATTATACATTATACATTTACATTATACATTATACATTATACATCATACATTATACATTTTTATACATTATACATTATACGATATACATTATACATTATACATTATACATTATACATTATACAATATACATTATACATTATACATTATACATTATAAATTTTCTATATGTTAATGGGGCTTTCCGTTTGTTAACGAATGGAAATTGACGGTTCTGACCGGTTCTGACGGATATCAGAATTTCTCCATACTTTTCAAAATCTTGTGGATAAAAATTTCTTACACATTATACTTTTTACATGATATGACAGGATGCATTATACATTATACATTATTAAAATCCTAAACCAACTTTTAAAAGGAAATAAGAAAATAATAAAGATATATATTCAAGAGGAATAACACTGTACAATGTACATTGTGGGTATTCTTTATACATTATTTAAATCTTAAACCAAGTTTTAAAAAAGAAATTAGAAAAATAATTAAAATAGTCCACAGTAAATTTTACAGTACAATAAATATATCCACTGCAGTTACAGTGTAATGTGATAGAAAACTCTTCAATCTCTTAAATCGTATTCCCTGTTATGTTGAAATATTGCAAATATAGAATTAAAGTTTCTCAAGATACCGAATGGAAAGAATTTTAGCCAGGTCTAGACCTTGCACAACTGCCCATCGCTTGTCGAATTGAAAAAACTGATTCAAATAGTTCCTGAATATTTAACTTTGAGTCTGTGGTTCAAATTTGAACCGTCAGTGGGTAGTTCAGCAACACAGCTCAAATACTTTAAATTCGGTCTTTGTACCTATATTATTTCTATTTTCTTCAGTTTTACTGAATTGAAAGGTTAAAATACAACCTAACAGTTCTAACTTTTAGAATCCAAACTTTAATCTTTTTAAACAGATTAGAATCCAAACTTAAATCTTGTTCAACAAATTAACTGAAATACAAACCTAGCACACTTTCTTCTGCAATGTTTTCTGTAACATTCCAACATATCTCTCCTGAACAAAGGAATCAAGGTTAGGAATTTCAGCTTCAAGGAGTTATACAGTTGGAAGCATTGAACATTTAGCTAGCTGGGAGCATTGATTATATAGTTGTTAGCATTGAATATTTAGTTGGGAGCATTAGTTGAATATAGTTGAGAGATTGATAATATAGTTGGGAGATTGATAATATAGTTGGGAGATTGATAATATAGTTGGGAGATTGATAATATAGTTGGGAGATTGATAATATAGTTGTTAGCATTGAATATTTAGCTGGGAGCATTAGTTGAATATAGTTGAGAGATTGATAATATAGTTGAGAGATTGATAATATAGTTGAGAGATGGATAATATAGTTGGGAGATTGATAATATAGTTGGGAGATTGATAATCTAGTTGGGAGCATTGATTATATAGTTGTTAGCATTGAATATTTAGTTAGGAGCATTAGTTATATATAGTTGAGAGATTGATAATATAGTTGGGAGCATTGATAATACAATTGGTAGCTTTTAGTTTAAAAATGGGAGCATTAAATATATTTTTGGGAGCATTGAATATATTGTTGAAAGCTTTGAATATTTAGATTAAAGCATTGAATATATAGTTGGGAGCATTGAAAATATAGTTGTTAGGATTGAATATATAGTTGGGAGCATTGAAAATATAGTTGTTAGCATTGAGTATATAGTTGGGAGCATTGAATATATAGTTGTTAGCGTTGTATATATAGATTGGAGCATCAAATATATATTTAGTTGAGAGCATTGAATATATAGTTGGAAGCTTTTATTATACAGCTTGGAGCAATGAATATTCAATAGCAAGCATTATATATAGATAGTTGAAAGCATTGAATATATAGTTTGAAGCACATAATATATAGTTGGTAGCATTGAAAACATAGTTGGGAGCATTGATTTAAAAGTAGAAAGAATTAAAAATTCAGTTGGAAGTATTTATTAATGATTATACAATTGGGTGCGAGTATTTAATATACAGTTGGAAGCATTTAGTATACAGTTGGAAGCATTGATTATACAGTTAGGAGCATTTAATATAAGTTGGGAGTATTGAAAATATAGTTGAGAGCATTTAATATACAGATAAATGAAAAAGGGTTTAAAAGTTTGAAATAGAAAAGTAGAAAAAAACGTCTTTCAATATTTCAATATTTAGACTGAAATTGAAGTTTTAAAAGTGTAGATAAACCTAATAACTATTCATATACTAACCTTTGTTTATATATCTCTGAATTAGTATCTTCTTCAACGTCAAGTATTTGATTTTCTTCAACATCTGGAACTTCTAGTATAGTGTAAACAGTATTGGTAGATGTGTTTTTTTGAGTGCATGTTGTAGTTTCTACAATATTCCTTGAATCAGCTTTCTTAATCACTGTAACCTCGTCATCTTCTATTTTACTTTTTCTTCTTTTTTTTTGGTTTAATCTTTCAGTAACAAGATGATGTTTGCTTTTTCTCCTATTTCTTCTTAATAACTGATTAGACAATGATTTAGATGATCTTAGTGATGATAATATTGTAGATTCAGCTGATGGTAAGGATGACATTGTTGTTAGTAGGATGGATGATGCATGTGATGCTTTTGAAGATGTTTGAACTGCTGGAAATATAGTTGAAGACATCCTAGTGGTAGTTACGGATACACATACAGTCAATCCTCTGTAATAAAATCTTGATAAGCCTTTTACTTTTTCAATCTGAAGTTGAAATTTCCAGTGGCCGAATTTAAAGAATTTGAGCGGCGGTTTAAATTTAAGCCGCGGTTTAAATATGATTGGTTCCACTTAAAATTGTATTAAATGTTTCAAGATTTAAGCCGGCGATAAATTTAAACCGGGTTTTGGCGGATTTAAACCGCGGCTCAAATTCTTTAAATTCCATCTCAGGTAATTCAAACCTAGACTATTTGATCCAGTAGAAATTTGAGATTTAAATATCAAAAGGTCTACAAAATTAGTTCCTTTATATAGGTTTTAAAGCGCTGTATATAACGTGTACTGTTGTACAGAAATAAAGCTTTGCAGTAGTACAGTTTACTACTGTACTGTGAAACAACTGAACAGTCTTATTTTTTGTACAATTCTATAAATGTTTTACTGTTATACAGTTCTACCTTGGTACTGCCTTTATTGCATACAAACTTCACATTTTCTTTTCTTTTATATTAAACTGAAAGTTTATTATCCAGGTTTAGAAAGTCTAAATAATTCCTATTCTAACCTGCTCCACCCTTGAGAGTAAACAAACTAAATGTCGTATTGATTAAACTTAATGTTTTAGAAATACTTCATCAACTAAATAAACACTTGAACAAACATCTTTAATTAAACATTGCATACTTAATACGTTTAACCAAAGCCACTTTCTTTCAGATTCCGCCCTTATTCAAAAATATGCAGAGGAATTGAGTCTTTGCCACAAACTCAAATTTTGTAATTCCTATATCTTTCCAACCTGAATGGGTAAATTTAGTTTATTTGATCTAACAGTTTATATAGTTTGAAATTTCTTAGGTCTCCCGATATTATATTGACAAGATATAGTAATTAGAAAATCAGAGCTTCTGGCAAAGAAATAGTAAATTTCAAAAACATTTTCAGAATATGTGTTTTTTTTAATATACTAATCTTTCAGCACGCTTCGCGCCCATCTTTTATTTCAATTGTAAACATTTTCTCTTTGTAAATCAAAAATAAACAAAAATTCGCGGATTTTATGAAAACAATTAGAAATTTACATTTATATTTTTTTAAAATTTAATTCTTAAATATTCATATTGGAAAATATTCATAAAATTATTTAGATCGATCTAAGTTACTTCTTCTTCCTCTCTGGGTATACTCATCATAAGTTAAAACTTTTTAAAATGATATTTGCAAGATTATGGAGCTAAAAGATAACATTTTTACAAAAAATAAATACAAGGAAACAGTGTAAAATCTGCTAAAATTAATGATAAAAGAATGTAAAAATTGAACCTGTTTTTTAATTCCTAACTAAAGATATTTGATTTCTTTTGTTATGGTACAGGGTGTCTCAATAAACATGAGCATTCAATGTTGATTTTGATATCACTTTTGTAAATAATCTGTTGAGTTAGTAATAGTATGATGATACCTACAAGGAAAGCTGTATTTCGTCTGCTAGAGATAAGAATTTGTTTGTTTATGTTTTGATTGCTATACTTTTGTGCTTTGTAAAATGAGAAATTCTATACAAACACAGTACAGTTGTTAAATTCTATACAAACACAGTACAGTTGTTAAATTCTATGTACAGTTGTTAAATTCTATACAAACACAGTACAGTTGTTAAATTCTATACAAACACAGTACAGTTGTTAAATTCTATACAAACACAGTACAGTTGTTAAATTCTATACAAACACAGTACAGTTGTTAAATTCTATACAAACACAGTACAGTTGTTCCTCAAGTCATTGTTTATTTTGTAGAAATGTTAGAGAACATCACGCAATGTTTTGCAGATTAACAAAGCAGTCTTTTAACCCGTTTAAATGACAAATATTGACGCAGACATTACTTTATTATGACCAATGAAATTAAGTAACACAAAACTAAATTGTAACAAAGCCGACTTCGAATTCGTCTCTTCAGTTCCATGTTTTTTGGGACACCCTGTATGAACGAATAAATTATGAAATATGCATTTATTAAAGGTGAATGTAATCTTACTTGTTATAAAGCTGACTTGAAGATTCTGGATCTTCTACCGGAACTACTTCAACTAAACTTGTATAGTTGGATGGAACTAGTAAAGTGGGCGCAATTCTCATCTTATCTCTGAAATATTTTAATATAAGAATATTGATAGGGGCGGCCATTACATTACATTTGTCAACTGAACCTGTCGTCATTTGATCCCGTTGTCAATTGATCCAGTTATCATTTGATCCCGTTGATGTTATTTAATCCAGTGCATCATTAGATCTAGTTGTTATTTAATCCAGTTGTTATTTGATCCATTTATTATATAATCCAGTTATCATTTAAGTATTTTTTTATTTGTTCCAGTCATCAGCTAATTCAGTTGTTATTCAATCCAGTTAGTAATTAATCCAGTTGTCATTTGATCCAGATGTTATTTGATCCAGACGTCATTTGATTCAGCTGTCATTTAATCCAGTTATCATTTAATCCGTTTATCATTTCAATCCGGTTATTATTTGATCTAGTTATCCGCTAATCCAGTTATTATTCAATCCAGCTATTAGTAAATTCCAGTTGTCCTTTTTTCCAGTTGTTATTTGATCCAGACGTCATTTGATTCAGCTGTCATTTAATCCCGTTTTTAGTTAATCCATTTATCATTTAGTCCAGTTAATTGAGTTAATCCATTTATCATTTAGTCCAGTTTTTAGTTAATCCATTTATCATTTAGTCCAGTTAATTGAGTTAATCCATTTATCATTTTCGTTTTTAGTTAATTCATTTATCATTTAGTCCAGTTAATTGAGTTAATCTAGATCTTGGTCAATCCAGTTCATGACGCGATCACAGTAAATCAGTTTTTACTCTTTTTTTAAATATATTTCACACGGGGTGTTTTAGATTTAAGAACCGTTCAATGTTACTAAACACAATTTATTTTTGTATCACATTTCTTGTATTTTTAGTTTTACAATTTGATATGAACTGAAAGAATGAATGCAAAAAAATAAAACTTGTTTTAACATTTCATTGTAAAAGCTGAATCTAGAAAGCAAATAAAACAATAAAAAAGGATTTTAAAACAGTAAGACTGCCTTAATATAACTATTGCTTCTAAATTTTTAATTTAAAATATTTAAAGTTTTTCTCATTTTTTTTCTCTTGAAATTCATTTATGTCAGATAGATTTTTTAAAGTTTTACAATCTTGGTCTTATTATTATTATTCTTGAATTCTTTTCAGTTTTCTTTTTTCTTCGTTTTCCAAAATAAGTTTAAATTCTTTTTCTAATTTATGCATTTGAATCTTAAAGTTAATGTAGAAATGCAAATAGTTTTGCATACAATAGTTATTTTCAGATTCAGAAAAATAAATTGGAACTCTATAAATTACAACATTTATTTATTTAGGAAACCTTATAATTATTATCAATATCACCCAAACTCATAATTTAAAAACAATGTTTTCAAGAAAATGATTCTGATTATAAAGGGGGGGGGAGTTTTCTTATCATTTTTAGTGTTTTTCTATGCAAAATTGATAATTCCTAACTTGCATTGATAAAGGAACTGATTACTTGTCACAAATTCTAACTCACTAATCTTTGCAACTTGATGACCTATAGACCAATATTATTTCAAACTGTAAATTGTGTGCTATAAAAAGTCTAGCTGGGTTGAAAATTCGTAAAAGTTTACAATATCATGTTGCAAACATTTAGTGATTCGATTTTGTAATTAAAATGACGTAGTTGTACAACGAGTACAACGTTATTTGACATTGTACATTGTACATTACATAGTACATTGTACAACCCAGTACAAAGTGTTAAGTTCCATGTTGAAAGTGTTAAGTAAACATATTAAATATATCGTGATCTACCTTGATAATGGTTAAATTTAGAAACCAAAGCATATATTATAGATCCTGGTTTAGTATCAATATAGTTACCCATGTAACCCTAGAGTCGGAAACTGAAGAGGATATGAATAAACGTTCTAGTGTAAGTGTGTATATCATAATTTAAGAAATGTTTATAAAATTAAATTTCAACCCGGTTTCAAGACCCAAGGATTGTCCTAAAACTAAAAAGTTCATAAAAAAATCACTAAGGTAAAATCACTAAAACTATTATCTCTCAAAGTCACATTACGAAAATATTTAAACAACTCCTTTAAATAAATTCTAAAAGAATGTCGTTTAACAAGATTGAATAAAATATTAAGTTTAGTCATTTAGAAAAGAGATTAAATCTGGTTTCTACAGAGCCAGGATGAGACTTTTCAGACGACTGATTCTAACATAAATAAATTAGATTCATGGTTCAATACATTGAATTTCCGATTATAAACTCATTTTAATTTTTGCTGCTTAATGTTTGCAAAAAAAATTAGGGTTTCCAAACGTAATATGCGCAGCTTAACAATAACCATAAACTTGTTGAAAAGTTAACTTGCTGCATTTTATGCCAAACCAAATATCATACTTGTATACGACAAAATATAGGTTTCTAATGATATGGATCTCAGAAGAATAATACAAACTTTGCGCTTCATTGCGCTAAATATTACCGCATGTATAGCTAAAAACATATTTTTATTGTTATTAAAGGCAATTTTTAACAAAATTGAATAAAAAGTTGTTTCGCATGGAAACGCTTGAAAAGATCGAGTTCTAAAAGGGAGTTCTCTACCTATAGAATTATTTGTGCATGAATAACCTGGTATTATTATTTCTTTATCGTACTGTTCAAATACATTTCAACTTTAACTCTCACAATCATCTGTGTAAAACAAATCTTGAAGTTGCAAGGGCCTGCAGAGTGCAGACTGCACACTGCAACGAATTGGAGGAAACTAAACTACGCAAATTCACTGAATAGTTTCAGCTCTGTCATTTACAGTTAAAGGTTACGCAGAATTTAAACTTTTCTAAAATCATTTTACAGAAGCAAAATTAATAGTATTCAACTTGGAATTCTAAGGCATGTTTATAAAATACATTTTTCACAAAATTTAAAAATGTGCCCCTCAAATGGGGTTTAATGATAAAAAATCACTAGTGTTAGCGAAAATGAAAAATTTGACAATATATAATATGGGTATCCATTGAACCAGCTTGAAAACAAGAGTTCCAAACAATTTACAGAATTGAAAAATTTTGAAAATTGGGCAAGTTATGGTCAAAAATAGTTTTTTTATTTGAATAAATTTCATTACAGTATTGAAAAATATCTTTTTTGACCTTACTCAGTCAAATTTTAATATTTTTCGATTCTGTAAATTGATTTAATACCCAAAAGGTATTTCAAAATTTTCATTTTCCCTTATAAATATTAACCCGCATTTGAGGGGCACATTTTTGATTTTTGTGAAAAATATATTTTATAAACATGTCTTAATATTCCAAGTAGAATACTTTTTTGCTTCTGTAAAATTATTTCAGAAAAAGTTCACACCCTTAGTGCGGGGTCTTTCAATTTCAACACTTTGGATGCTTTGACCGTGTAGTAAAGCATCAAAAAATTATTTTGAAAGCATCAAAAACATAATTTCAAAGCATCAAACGCAAAAAGCAATGAATAAGCAAAGAACTAGGAAGCATTGCTTTTAACTTTAACAAAAAACTGACGAGGAAACATTATATTATCAAGCCTAAAAGAATAACTGAGATATGTTTGTGTCTTAAACTAGAATGTTGTCTTTAAATATTAAAAGTCATAATCGTATAAAAGACATACTCTTAAACAAAATTGACCAAGAAAAAGGTGACTCAGACATGATTGGGACTGAGAAGATGTTTTTGTGACTCAGAAAGTGTCTTAGACAAAGCTGTGAATTAGAATTTTAACTTAGAAAGTGTCTAAGAGACAAAATGGTCTGAAAGTGTGACTTAGAATGCATGGGCCTTGAATATAATAAAGCCTGACAACTGTGATTTAGACATAAATGTGACTGAAACGGTGTTATAGACCTTATTAAGACTTAGAATTGTGACTTAGAATAGGTTTTAAACACAATGAAATCTAAATTCATGACTCATACATAGCTTTGAGTTATAATTGAGTCTTACAATGTGTCCATGACATATTTGTTTTTAAGTCTTTTAATTATTATCATG